GGGGATCTCGTAGTCGAGCAGTCTCGACTAGAGCTTTCTTACTTGTTTTCTTTCTGTTTGTCTGTCTGTCCGTGGTCCAGTTAAAGCTAGCAGCTCAGCTGCCAGTCCAGAGCCTTCGAATGCATTTAATAATTTATTGAAAACTAATCTATATACATATATATATTTCACATTGCATATGCATAAAACTTGACCACATGTGGCTTACAGCAGCCAAAACTTTAGCTGATAAGCTTGCGGGCTTTGTTTGGCTTAACTCTTAGTTAGTTTTTAGTGCGTTTCATACTTGAGATTACAAGTGGGGATTTTTTTTGTACAATTGCCAAGTGTGATGGTATGTGTTGGCATATATGTGTATATTTATAAATCATGCTACAATACAAGTTATAATATCATAAAAAGTAAGCAGAGTATATATACATATATATATATATATATATATATATATATATATATAGAAATTCACGAGTCTGTCATGAGCTGATTTGCTTAGCACTGCCGGCTTCCTTTTATACTCGTTCATATGATAAAGAGAGCATATTGGCTTTGAGCAATGGGCGACCTCTTATTTCCCGATTATGTTTCTATTCCAAAATATTCCATCTTCTACAGTTTCATATAGATAACTCTGTTTCTCTCTAGAAGTTCATATATATAAATGTATTAATATGCTTAGAATTGATTTTAATTTATTATGAAGTTTAACAAGTGTAGAATGGATATACATACATATATTTCATATACGTAATTATATATCACTGCATTACGTCAACAAATTAAATGCACATATACGGCAAATATATTTCTATTTCATGTACAACTCATGTATATATATATCTTATATATACAACAAATTATATATATACGACAGCTACAACCTCTTTTCTCTTTCAACTCACAGCCAACAATTACCTGTTCAGCTCACCTGTAGTCTAGGCAATCGCAATTGCACATTGTGCATTCGCATGTTCCAATTAATTATTGCCATCAACTCCATACTCTATAGTGTATGGATGGCAACTGCAGCAAACAAGTTGCCTTTCATTTGATTCGAATCTCTCTTTGGAGTATTTCTGCTGACACGCAAAACAAGTTGCAATCAAATCGGCAAATCAACGACTAATAAATCCCCTAAAAGGCTGCTCGAACGAACCGTAAAGAGAGCAAAAGCCAGATAAAAGCATTTCGGGTGTGTCTTTTTACAGGGTATATTTATAGATAATCGCTGATGTCACGACACATCAAGAGCGCGTCTACACTTTAAACAGTCTCTTTTTGGCATCTTTGTATACTCTAGCAGAGAGTATGTACGAATGTTGTATTCAGATAAATATTTCTTGTAAATAATATATGCAAATAATAATAAAAAATATATAAAATAACTAAATTAGATAAATATAAAAAAGTTGATCAATTAAATATAATGAATTTCTATTCAATAAAACATAAAACAACAATACAAGAAGAGTATTTAGCATTCGTCATGTGACAGTTGTCATTTTTGTTGAGCTTTTAATTAGGTTCCACATTTAAGTGTCTCGATTTCTCATTCTCTGTTTCTCTCTCTCTCTCACTCTCTCTCTCTCTCTCTCTCTTTCTTTCTCTGTTTCGGTCTCTGTCTCTACGTCAGCTGCTATTGCAGAGCATTATCTAGTCCAGTCTACGCTGAACCCTCAGGCCGCTTGAAAGGTTTTGAACGTTCGAATGTTGAGCATTAAAACTACAAGCCGTTAGTCGGTAGTTGGGGTTGATAAGACTAACAGAGTGTGCTGTAGATAACTAACTGAATAGAATGCTAACAAGTGTTTAAGTTATTGAGAAAAATTAAACAATTTTTTTTATATAAATAACTTATTCGAAATAATTTGATGAGCATATTTTTATTTATTTATTTATTATTATTTATTTATTATTATTTATTTATTTATTATAATATTACTTTAATATTTTTTGACGGCACTTGTGTATATCATATATTATTTGTTTATATTTCATTCGATAGTAAAATTATTGTTTGCATTTTGAATGGGTTCCACAGCATGCGTCATTCATTCTCCCTTAGCTGGCCAGCTGTTTATCTCTCTCTCTAGCACTGCCTCACTCTCAATCTACCCTGTAAACGTTATTGGAGTCAGCTGATGGTCTAGACTGTTTTCACTATATCTCAACGATTCACTCTTAAGAGTTTAAGCTTAGTTTAGCATCATATTATTGCTATTCAAAGGGATTAACGTTGACAATCATAATATAATTGATTTGGCGTTCAATCGTAAGTTGAAAAAATTTGTTGTACGCAAAGCTCAGATTATTTTAATTTGTATTACCATTAACTGTATAGATATTCCTCTCGATTATAGCTCACTACAAAGCTGAATGAGGAGCAAACTCTAAAACAAGCCCAAATCTCCATCTAAAAAAAGCTGGAAGTGAATCCAGCCCAGCCAAGACTTTCGTCTTCCATGCCCATAACAAAAACTTATATATAAATGTCTGCAATCAAATACTCTATATAAGCGATATTTAAGCCTTTCATTTATAAGCAACTTAAACCAAACTGTGCTTATTTAGTCGTCTGGTCTATAAAGCGATATCTTAACAAAGAATTTCAGAGAACTTGTGAATGTTATGAGAAATTGATATGCAATAATAAATAAATAAACATAATTTAAAAGGTGTTAATTTCTTTTGCATGCATTTGATATGTGCTCTTATCACCTTACTTATTTACTATTAAATTTTTATTTGCTTTATTTAATTTTTATTACTAACCAAATTTATTTTATTTATCATTTTATTGATACAACAAATACTGTTAATTTATTTATTTATTTCTTTTTTTGCCAATGCGTTTAATATATAAATATCTTTTTGTTTCCTGTTTGTATGTATAAATGTATATGTAAATTGTATTTTTAGCTATTGAGAACATACATAGGCCATAAAAATAATTTTGAATGGAGTCCACAATATTCATGCTCATCTCGCTGTCCACCTCCAATAGGTGGACGCCAGTATCCAATGAAATCCCTTTCTAAGCACGTCGTCTTGCTGCTCAATTGGAATTTTCTTGAAAAATGCCTATCAACATAAATAATCCCAAGAAATTGGGAATCAGCGTAGCTGGACTAAATATATTCTTTACAATGATTGCCTTGGGCATTATGATGAGACGATCGGATGTATTAGATGATAGTGGTAAGTGAATAATAATAGCAATATATGAATATATTCCTATCTATATATATATATACATATATATATAATCATATCTTCTGTAGCGGACGCGCCGTCATATTGGCCATGGATTGTGGTGTATAGCCTCGACTTGTTGCTCAACGCATATCTCTTGTGGTGCATGCTGAAGAGAGATCGCGCCGGCATCGCTGTGTGGCTGCCTCTGACAATTATTTTACTCCTTTGTCGAGTGTCTAGCAATGCGACCTATGGATTTCTGGATCTAATTATTACAGGTATTGTAATTACTTTAAATGTATATAAAGTTCTTATAAATCTATTCCATTCTCGCCCAAAACAGTTTACATATTCATCTCAATCATACTTATGGCAATTGTTTACTACAAACTACGACAACAATCATTGACGATAATTGAACCAACGCTGCACACAGTTGTCACAACTAAAACAACTACGGAAACAATTATCCAGCCCAACTCAGATGAGAGTAAAAAAGATGCTGAAGGCGGCGATAATGCTAAGTAAGAGAGAATATGGCAAATATTTTAGTGAATATTTCTACTAAAGAAACTTTACAAAAAGTGAGATTCGAGCATTTCTTTTTTTGTAAATATTTATGTTTGTATAAAGAACAAAATCTTAGTAGTCGCTTAGAAACATCTGCAAAGTCGTAAAGCTTTAAGCTTTGATGTTTACATATCAATAAAGTAAAATAAGTAAACAAATTATTTCAATTGTCGAATTAGCTGATCATAAAAAAAAATGTGCAATTGGGATCAACGGAAAGAGCTGTCAAGCTGCCATGATACATTGTATAAATATATGCCTTTCTCTTACATTTCCGATAGCCAATGCACCACTTTCGATTTCAACTCTCTTGATAACAATAATTATTAGTCTATGATTGATTGCTGTTATAATAATATCAGAAGAGTTGGTAGCACCAGAGAGATAACGATTGTGCAAGCGATGGCGGAAGAGAGCAGCAGGCAATGTTTGTGGAGGCGGCTGCTATGATTCGAGCATAAAGTGGAACATAAAATTGAATACTCAAATAAACGAACTCACAGGCGAAAGAGCAAGAAACTCATATAGACCAATAGATACTCTTTAATGGCTCTACTATAATTTAATTGGAATAATTATAATTTTATCGTAAATATATACAATAAATATATAGTGTCTAAACTTATCTAAATGATAATTTATTAATTATTATTTGTTTTTTTATTTTATTTATTTTTATTTTTATTATTTTTTTCTATTTTTATTATTATTATCATTTATTATTTATTGAGTGACATACGCTTCTTGACTTGCCTACATTTGATTTGTGATTTTTAATGTCAATAGAATCCACAACACGTGCCAAAAAGTCTCTCCCTTGCGCTCAGCTGCACGCTCTCTTACTCACTCTCTCTCGCCCTTTCTCTCTCTCTCTCTCACGCTTGACTGACCATCGAATACGTTTGGCAGTCGACGCTGAACTTTCGTTCCGGCTGAACGTTGCGAGACATGGGCCAATTTTTATGGGAAGGCGGCATTGATAAGAGTAGAATTATGAAATATATGTGGAATAGATGGAATATGGAACAACACACAGTAGCAAGCGATATGCAATGAGTGAATATATATGGTCAGATAAAATGGAATCTATAATACGATATATACATATGTATGATGTATATATAAATTTATATATATAAATATATCTATTTAGATATTATAAATAATAATATAAATCAATGCATAATAAATTATATAAAAATGTTATTGGCAAAAATTCGGAATAATTATAAATAAAATAAAATAAATATATTTTAACATATATTATTATAAATTTATAAATGAGATACTAAAATTTATTAACTTTACTTTTTATTATTTTTAATTTATTTATATTTTTTATTATTTTATTTCATTTTATTTTATTTTATTTTTTATTTTATTTCATTTTATTTATTTTTTTTGTTTAGTTTAGAATATCTACATAAACATACATTAATTATTGCCAACAATTTGAATAGGTTCCACAGCGCTCTCTCGCTCTCTATTGCACTCTTATCGAACTAACGCGACAATTAGACAGTCTAAGCTGAATGCTAAATGTGGGCGCGTTGTATTAACCTTGGCCAGCATTTGATTATTGCCAACAAATAAATATATATAAATAATATGAAATGTACGCTAGAAGCGGCTGAGGCCAAGGTAAGGGAAGCTTTAATATTACTGTTACTGGCCATGAATACTGTGTTGGCATTAGGTTTATGTGCTAAGTTTTTGAGTAAATATAGAGATATACATATATACATATATATACCCATTTATGTTTTGTTATCTATTGGGAAGAGGCAATGCCCTAGGAAGTATAGACTTATAATATGTTATCTATATAGAACACTCATGCTCTACTGGCTTTCGATTCACTCTTATTGGTTTAATTTCCCCAGCTAACAAATGATCATTTGAACATCATCACGGAGCCATTGTATCAACAGATATGATTAGTAACTGTACCTTAAATATGAATTTAAATTTTTATATATTTTCATATAATTGTTTTTTTCCTTACTCCCGCTAAATAAATTTATAAACTGCTACAGGCATTGCTATTGGCTATAAGTATGGGCTCTCAGTTTGAATTTCACTTTAATGAATCATGAACTTGTGTCAACTATTGATTCCTCTGAATTCCAATGTAACGCTTTCGATTTCATCGCCATTGATAACAGTGATAAGCTGATAACAATTGCTGTGATATGACTGATTGTTGCTATGAGCAAATCAACGTGAATTGAGGTAGCACTGGAGATAACGACTTTAAGTGAGGTGGAGTGAACATGGAGAGTGGAGAAGCTCTGTGGCTCCGCAATAATTGTGAAGGCAGTCGTAATGATTAGAGCATAAAGTGGAACATAAAATTGAAGAGTCAAATACACTAACATGAATCACCAACGACAAGTAATGAAACATTTACGATAAAGCTTACAATTTCATAATGAAATGAAATGAATTCAGTGACTGTATAGACTATAAGATACCCTCTAAGACACTAAGACCAATATTTAATGAATGTAAAAATTAAAAAAAAAAAAATAATAATAATATATACATATATATGAATATAAAATAAATAAAATCTTACTCATTTTTTATCATTTAAAATAATTTATTTTATTTATTTTATAAAAAAAATGTATTTTATATTGCTAATTTATTATTCAATAATATCTTTATATAATATAATAAATAAATTATAAAGATTTTCATTTATTAATTATAAACAAAAGGTTTATTATTATTACCAATAGTATTATTGTTTATATTTTTTTTTTTATTATTAAAAATTTTTTTTAGTTTAGTTAATTAATTCTTATTTCCAATAGTTTTTTATTTTATTATTTATTATAATTTTTTAAAATTATATTTATTGTAATTTTATATTATTTATTTCTGTCACTCTCATGATTTCTGTTCAGTATGCGTTGGTTTATATAGAGCATGCACACGTCGGCACGCTTTGGCTCTTCGACCAAGCCGTGCAGCATGTTTGGTGTTTGCCATGCGAATGGATTCCACAGCACGTGCTCGCCGCTCTCTTATGGCCGCTCTCTTGCTCTTTGGACCATGCTCTCACGTGTATGCTGGCTCTCCTGCCCTCTTGCTCTCTCTCTCTCTCTCTCTCTCTCGCACGGCTGACCAAACAAGACGTACGCCAGTCTACGCTGAACCCTCGTTCTGGGCGAGCGGTCTCGGGTTCGGATTCGCGTTTGTTTATGTCATAAGAGCGAAATAATTCGCTCACACTTTATACACACATACACACACACCCATACACACACACAGCCATACACACCCATACATATACATATACTTGTACACTGCCGGCAGTCAAGATGAGCAAATATTTGGACTTGGGCCTTGGCATTACAATAATCAATGTCTACTATTCGCTATCATATTTTCTAATGTGGTGCGTGGCACTGCAAAAAGCCAGCGAAAATGGTAAGCTACATAGAGGTATATCCATATATAAGAGTCAAGCAATATATATATAATCGATTCTAATTGATTGATGTACATACATACATACATATAATTAAATGACAGCTGTGTTGCGTGTTTCGGTTTTTTGTTTTTGTTTTCGTTTCTGTTTCTCTTTTCTAGACAATGAGCCGATTGTTTGGCAAGCCGTTTACATGGGCAACGTGTTTCTCAATGTATTTCTCTTCTTGGGACTGCGCAAGAGAGATCGCTGGTCGGTCATCATATGGTACTCTCTGACGTTGGCGTGGTTTGTGCCCAAGCTATATGGACATAAACGGGGTTGTCATTTGGACGCGCGCGGTTCAACGTACCGTACTATCAATCTGATAATGGAAAGTGAGTGAGGCTAGGCGAAGGCTGTATACTCTAACTCTAAGTGAATTATTCTTGTTCTCTCCCTCTCTCTCTCTCTCTCTCTAGCCTATGTGATTCTATCTTTTGCTGTTATGGGTTTGGTTTATGTGCATTTGCCTAAAGAGTTGCCTTTAACAAAAACTAAACGTCGCCGATATAGATCAAACGAAAATGTTCAGGATGTACAAATGCTGGAATTGAGCTCAAATGGGGGTGCCAAAGAGCCCGCTTTGGCACCCTTAGCAACTGCCGAAGTGGATGAGGACCTCGATGAATGCCTGCCAAGCAGTAGCAACAGCAACAATAATAGAGGCATGCAACAAGTTAGCAGCATTGAATTTCATCAAGCTGCTGATGCGGAACTGGATAAAGATTAGCATATTGTACAAATTTCTATATGTGTATATATGTACATATATATATACATATATATCTATGCATATATGCGCATATCTTATATACATAGATCTTTAACATTCCTGCACAATTTCAAGTGTTTGTCACAAATTTCTGATTCGTTCCACTTATGCTTAGACTACAGACTTTATACACATACACACACACACACACACCAACATATACATATACTTCTACACATATACTTATACATATTATGTACTTTCAATTGTTAAGTTTTCTAGATTAGTATACATACTAGCTGTAATGGGAGGAGAGACAATAATAATAAAACAACAACAAATCATCTAATACTACGCTCGTTGGAGAGTGCTTGACTAATAAACACCCTGTACAATGCACACAACTGTGGTTTTCATTTCTTAAGGTTTTTCTTCTAGATAAACAGACGTCTAAACAATTGCAGTATATCTGTTTCCAGTATCAAGTTACTAGCATTTGTAATTTACGAGTTCATTGAGGTTGAACTGATTTGAAATCAGTCAGGCGCACAGAAACTTGGGAAGACATACAAATATCAACTCAACTTGTCTTTGGATTTTTAGATATGCTAAAGCTCAATGTCTGCATGTTACAGCCATTATACCCCCTTTGCATTACAGGGTATTTCATCTACTCCAAAACTTATCATTGCAAACAAAAAATTAACCAAAACCAAAGCAGCCAAACTGCTAAATGAAGATGAGCTCGACTAACTTTTTGGTAACAGCTTTCTCAGTTCTTTTACTTTTTTTCAGTTCCTCTCTGTTTTCGCATCGCTGCTGTTTATATTGGCCAAGTGTACAACATTGAGCGGAATTGGGTTTTTCGTAGCGAAAGCGTTCGATTGAGTGTGTCAATAAATTCCTGCCAGTCGCCCAAGTGCAACACATTTGTCCGGCCATCAGCGATAAATAGTTGGCACGCCCCCCACTCCCGTCGCCAATGGCTCGGCACTCCTTTCGGCCAAATCTGTCTGGCCGACTCTCTGGAGCTTTTGTTGGCCAAAAAGTTTCGTGTGAATTTAGTGCGGCTCATTAAGCTGACCGTTCACGTTGCACGTCCTGTATTTGAGCCCTAGTCCAGAACGTCACTCACTCACTCATGTGTGTAGTGGATGTGTGTGCGCGTGTGCGTGTGTGTGTAGCAATGGCTTTTCGTTACCAACTTCATTACGTGCCAATGATGAGCAGGAAATTGTTTGCGCCATTGTCATTCGCAATGTCATTCGGGCAAATGGAGAGCGAGTGCGAGCAAACATTTCATCCATTTTGCCATTTGTCAAACTTTCCTTATTTATATACGTATATATATTTGTATATATATATATATATATTTGTTGTGCTTTAAATGGACGCGCTCTCATTAAGTAAATTAATGCTGGGTATATATTCATTAAAAGTGTCAAAGTGCGCACATTAAAATATCATCTAAGACGACAGCCAAAAGCCGGCGAAGCCCAACTTTTTATACCTTGCAAGACATTGAAAACACGTAGAGAGGGTATATAGGTATTCATGGAAGATGTGCTAATAACAGGGTATAGAAGCTATAAAATGTCGCTGGGCAAAGTGTAAGGGAAATATTTCCCAATTTCTACCGTTTTCTTTGCTAGGTCAAGTTACTTCTAGAGCCGCCCGGGAATATAAATTAATGTGGCTAAAGAGCCGAGTCTGTTTATCTACATCAATAGTCTCTCTTTTTATCTCTCTCTCCTGCTCTGCCTATTTATAAATTCGCTCGTCTGCCTATCAGAATCTGCATCTGCTCTCAGTCTTTGTGTTTATTTCTGCATAGCCTGCATATCTCAAGAGCTCGATTCATCAAATTTTGATATTCTTGTATATATATATATATATAGATATGTCTATAGCAAGTAAACACTGTTATCGTGCCAACAGTCCCCAAACAATCTGTTTATAAAGAAGCCAATAATTAATCAATAATAAAGAAGCCAATAATTAATAAATAAAATATTAATTTTCAATATGATTAATTTCAAAGAAATATATATATAAAAATAATAATAATAAAAAAAAAATTATATTAAATCTTCAATATAATTTATTTTTTAATATAATAATAACAAAAAAATTAAAAAATATATATAAATAAATAGCTAAGATATGCAATATAATTTAAAAAAAATAAATAAATAAATAAAATATTTATTATAACAATAATAATTTAGAAAAAATTAAATATAAATAAATATCTAAGTAATGCAATATAATTAAAAAAAAAAAATAAAATAAATTAATAAAAACATTTATTTTAACAATAATAATTTAAAAAAATTAAACGTGGACAATAATATAGTTGAAAGCTTAAATATTTTGAGCCAACTACACCTTTTTTTTAGGTACAGGGTATCTGCTAGTCGGTCACTGCCATGTCCAGCTTTTCTGCGTGTTCTGCGCCTTGGATTTTAAGGCTTCGACTTTGTCGCGTCTCGATTTTTATGCACAAAACAAACATTAAAGACGCATAAAATGTTGACGCAGCGCAGCTTTGTTTGCTGCTGTTGCTGCTCATAAAAGGAATGACACACACACACACACACTCACGCACACAGACAACACGCACACACACATTATTAGTGTGTCTTGTGGCAACTCATAAAACTAAACCGCAATTCATCAGTAAATTCCTTCAATTTTTGTTTTTTTGGCTATGCTCGATAGCAATTGTTGTTGTTGTTGTTGCTGTTGTTGTTGTTGCTGTTGTTGTTATTCTACATATGCCCTGTTATTTCTATCTGCTTGCTGTTGTTTGCTGTTTGTTGTTATAACTGCAAATAATTTAGTGCGCTGCCTGAAAATATGCTAGAGTTTTATGTGGCCATAAAATGCCAAAAATTGTTTTTATTATATGTAATTATTATGTTATGCATGCCTCCCACTAACGCCCGTCGACCAAGTCTTTATCCAGTTTATTGCCTTTGGCATAAAGTTCACTGTGAAATGAACTGTTGATGCGAGCATCAAAAATTTCGTATATCTATATCTATATGTACATTTAGTTTAGCCCCTAACACGTTGGGCTCTTTACTCTTGGTCGATTCTCAGTTTTTTTTTGGCTATTCGTGTAAGCCAAATTATCAAACATTTTACGCTGAACTTTTAGCCATTCGAAACAATGACAAAAAGTCAACAAACTTTTGCTTCAATAGCCCCTTCGCACAGCAGCAGCAGCAGCAACATAAAATGCAGCACGTTTGCCGCTGCAGCTGAGGGTCGATGCGACTCGACCCGACTCGACTTTATGTCACGCATTGTAAATGGCAAAAGCTTTCTCCATCTTAATGCTTCACAACATACACACACACACACACACACACACACACACATACATAGACTCACACTATCTGTGTAAGTTTTGTATTGCAACGCTTTACGTGCTGCGAAGAATTTTGTCAGCTGCAACTGCATCTACTGCTGCAATTATTACTCCTGCTTTTCCTGCTACTGCTGCTGCTGCTGCTATTGCATTAACTTTAACTTGCTAGCTCATTAGGATGATGTGCAGTTAGTGCAGTTATTAAGCGCATAGCTTCTAGATAATATAAAAACTAACAGCGCTTGCTATGGAATCGCAGCTTGCATAAAAAACTCTATATAATATTAAATAATTGCTTTGCAGCAGGGGAAAGATATTCCTTTATATGTTAACAACAGTTAGTTTTTTATTCAAGCTCAGCTTCAGTTAATTAGTAGAACAATTTAGTGATTAAAACTGAAACAAGTGCAAAAGCAATAAAATAAAATAATACAAAATTAAATATTAAAAAAAAAATAACAATCATAAAATATATTGACGCAACCTAAGTTACATGTGTATATTCACAAAAAAATTCGTTAAATAACTGGTTTTTTTTTTTTTATTAACATAATCTCCAACTCTATCTCTATTTATTGCTCTACCTTCAGACTTTCTAGAATTTGTAGCTCTAGGTCCTTCTCAACACAGTTTCTTAATCTCCATTAGAAACTCTCTTGCACTCACACCATTTGCATTCATTTCCTCTCCTTTCTCCTTTCCCCTCTGCTCTTTATATACTTACAGAACATCCATCAATTTGTTATATAAATTTACTTCCAATTTAAACTCTTCACATTGCCCGCATTTTATTTTAAATAAATTTCCAATCTGTATAAAATTCAATTGAAAGTCACATAAAAAGACGAAAAAGAAAATCACTTTAAATCGCAAATGCAACAAAATCTTTTTGTTTATAGCCCAAGACGAGGAGTTTCTCTCTAAAACAAAGTAAACAACGGAATTGTTTATACTCTATCTGCCACTTTAACCTCTCTCTCTCGCTCCCACTCCTTCCACACTTTGGCTGTATTTACAGCCACTGAAATTCATTCTATGCCTTCGTTTTTCATTAGCCATTCAAAGAAATAAACTTAAATCAGTGCCACGCGTCGTATGCGTAATGTGAGGCAGGACTTGCCAAGTTCCTTGCCCCACGAACAATTGGAACAATCAAAGTTTTATTGTTGTGCAAATATTGAATAAGGAAATGTTAAAGTGCCAACGCCCTCAAGTGGGCGTGACCTCACATAAGCCACATAGGCGACAGAGGCAGACTAGAAACTTAAAAGACAATCACACAAAAGCCAAACACAAAGCATAATAAAAAGAAGTTAGCCCAAGAGCGGAGCGACGGACCGACCATTCGGTGTGTGGGAGACGGGGGCGTGGTCTGGTGCTGACCAGAGCACCAAATGAATGGACGGCGTAATAATTGCAGACGCCGGGACGCGTCCAAAATGTCACGTACTGGCAATAAACCGCTGCTAATTTACGATGGACCCCAATAACAAAGCTCGCTCGCTCGCTCGTCCAGCTCAAACGGAAATCAAATGGCAAACGAAGCGCAGGCCTCTCTGTCTAAGCAGCCGGGCCACTTGGCCACTTGGCCACTTGGCTGATTGGCCAGAGCTAGAGTCGGAGCAGCAGTTGATGCCCAATAATGTTGCATAGAGTGGCCTGGTAGAAGTTGGAAGTCGTTGCGCCTTGTGGCACGTTACGGCGACTGCATAGAAATGGCCTTCAAAAACGACAAGCAAATATCGAAAATGGCAATAAGGGCCAGCGCATAGTAGACTTGGCTTAATGCGCATTAGATGAAAGACGCATAAAAAAGACTATAGAAAAAGGATGAAAAAGAGCCAAGAGAGTGCGGCAGCGACTGAGTGTGGTTGACGAGGAGTTACCCTATGCATAGAACTATAGGGGTTATGGCTAAATATTAAATATACAATTTAGTATCTAATTAATGCATTTAGCTAATATCAATTTAATATGTTTTCTGCGACTAGTTGATCTACGAGCTTATTTACTATATATATTATTTCTCTCTTAAATAAACCTCCATCCACAGCCTTGCTCCCCCACTAAAATACCCCATTTAAACGCCCAACAATGGTTCTTCTAGGGTATGCAGCAAGGAGCAACCCATATAAAAGAAGCTGACTTTCTTTTCCATTGGACATTTCGGGCCTGACCCAACCTGATTCGCACATTGCATTAGTCATATTAAAAACTTGCTGAAATGCAAAGCTTTTGAGGCACGACTAAAATGCGGCATTGTTAAGCATTGCAACATGGCCGAGTGGCAGAATGGCAGAATGGATTTCCTGAGCCATTAACGAGAGACTGAGCTAAAATACAGAAATTTTCTACTTAGCTCGGCAGCTTTACTAAAAAATTAAAATAAATAAAGGAAGAAAACAAATTTGTGCAATTCGAATGATTCAATTGCTGCAAGCGGAAGGCGCAACAAATATCATGCAACAGTTCTGATACAATATTATTTTGGTTTTCTTTTTTAAGAGAATCCTTTTTCGAGTTCGAATCGCTTTCTCTTAAATTGAAGCTGTGTAGACTTTTGCTGTATAAGAGAATGCCGCTGTCGACTGTGGCGGGCGCAGGCGCTGCTGCAAGTGTAAAATGAAAAATCAGCTGCTGCTGTTGCTGTTGCCGCCGCTGCTACTGCTGCTGCTGCTGCTGCTGCTGCTGCTGCTGCTACGGCTTGTGTTGCTGCTGCCATTTAACAGCAAACGGCCACATTGAGGCAGTTTGTCAATAGTTATGCTTGGGTATAGGTTAAAGACGCATGTGCCGCCGACAGCAACAGGATCTACATTAAAGACTGAAACTCTCAATTTCTAACAAAAATAAAACAAAACAAAAACAAATTGTGCTACAAATTTAATAAAAAACAAAAGAGAAAAAAACGAAACAAATAAAATAGAAATCAAATATGAAATTAAAAACAAAATCAAAATAAAGCAAATCAAACTGAACTGAACTGAATGAAAGTGAAATACGCCCGCATAATTAAGACATAAGACCGTGAAATTAAATACAACAAAAAATCAAATACAAGCACGCACACACAGTCAAACAGACACACGCACACACACACACACACACACAGTTTGTGGTCGCGTTTTTTTTTAAAGCTTGTTGTGGCGCGCTGTTGTTGTTGTTGTGCTCGTTGTTGTTCCATCTCGTCTCGTGACACTCGGCATAAATATTTATGTTGACGCATTTACCTGCGGCGCTGCAGCGTCGCTAATGAAGCGCACGAAAATGAATGTGAAAGGACATAATTATGCTTATGTGTGAGTACTATGAATAAGAATACACAAACAGACATACATATATATAAATATATATATAAATAAAAAAAAAATACGTATATATATATATATATACTGAAAACTAAGACCAAGGTCAAGCCGATGCGAAGCACTTCAGTTGCCATAAATCCTTAGGGCAAACAGCATACGGCTTGAACGAGAGCTAAAGCACTGTGCAGTGCTGAAACAGAGGCAGCTGTGAAAACCGAATTGCAGCTGTGGAGAAATTTAGCTGCATTTAGTATTCCATTTATTTTCGACTCTGTGGGTGGCTTTAAAACATGATCACGAAGAGTATAAAAACTCTGCATTTAAGCTTTGAAACAGCATATATAAATATATGTAATCTATCCAAGTTAACTCATGAGAGTTCTATAACTACATATATATTTAAAGGCACGTCTATATCAAGCTCTGTCTTTCTATCTCTCTGTCTGCTTATCAATTTGTACTTCTTTTTGAGATTTTCGTATAATTTATATAGTCTTGGTATAAGAGACCATATTATTGAGCTTAATTCAAGCACCATTAACATCAGAGTATATATAGGCAAGTCTTACAGTTTATCTCTATAGCCGGTTCTGATTATTTCTTTGTCTGTCTCTCTGGCTTGGGCATAGACGTTTTTGGAATTACTTTACGTAATCCTTCATATATTCGTGTTGCTTTTAGCTATATCACATTGATATATTGATATACAATACATTGTACTCCTTGTCGGGTAAATCTTGTCTGAGTTACCTATAATTTCAAAATATTTTTACTGAGTTCGATAATTAAAAGTCTTACCAATATAACGAACTTTCTTATGTACACTATTCTATTCTATTGTTTCTTTCACCTCTCCTATATATATGCTAGCTACAACATATGGTGCATGTACAGCTCATAGATCCCAGAACGGCTCAACAAATTAGTTTTCTTTAGCTTTCGAAGTAGCTCACTTAGAGTTTTACTCTGCTTTTAAATATTAATAATAATTATATTATCTTCTCAGTAAACTGCTATAATATTTATAAATTATAAATATAATTATAATTATAACAACTCTCCCATTCTATCAGCAATATAATAAAAATTATATAAATATATTTAAAAAATATATAAATATATCTCTCATGCAATATATTCAAATTGTATTTTAAATTCCCGAAATTCCCTATAGACATCTATATATAGTGCTAAGCTCTATGCCAACAGCTGCTTCAGAGTTCTATCCAACATTGATACTGTCGACTATAGTATATATCACTAAAAAAGAATCACAAAAATTAAATCTAGAATCGCCATAAAAAAAAACAAATCCATATGCTGACTCGAAAATGAACTAAACTGAGACGAAAACAAAATCATTAAAACTTAGCTAGAGATAACTCTTATACGTATAATCACCCCACAGTTCTTAGACATATTCCCAGTAGAGTATCTCATCCTCGCTTAGCTGCGCTCTCAACTCTTTTCCTGGCAATTCACGTTAAAGCGGCCAACAGCCACAGAGAGAAAAACATTTCAATTGCTTTTATTTTTTAGTATTTTTTTTTCCTATTCTTCTTCGCTTCGTGTTTTTTTATTGCAGTTGCAACTGCTTCTGTTGGTCCTGTTGTTGAGTTAATGGGATTTTGTCTGGCCTTAGGTCTATGGGGTCTACGGTCTGCGCTCGCCACAGTTATTTAGTTCAATAACAAAACTCTGCTCGTTGCACTCGTATATATGATGAAGTCGGAGTTGAAGCAATTAGTGGACAAACTTTATGAAAAGTTGCCAATGCGCCTGAGTGCAGTTCGTTGTTCGGCTAGATGGGGCAATTGACAAAGTTCCTCAACAATGTCCAATGAATTCAATTTCAATTTCATAACACACATGAGAGCGAGGGGGAGAGAGGGGGAGAGAGAGAGAGAAGGAAGCTTTTCAGCTCTAAAATAAATTATAGCATTTGAGTGCTCGACAGATTGTCAAGCATTTAGCTAACTAAATTTGATATACATATTTAATTAAAACATTTTGCTTGATAAAAAGCCACTGCTAATTGGCGCATTGTCCGGACACAACTTCTAGTTGGAGCACAGCAAATAGAATTTAAAAAAAAAATGACAAAAAAGTTAAATAAAATAAAAGCCAGATGGAGTAGAGAGATAAAGGCTAGAGCTAAAGATTATGCTGACACAAATGACAACTAAATGGGCGGCCTGGAGGCGTGGCCAACACTGCTGCGGGTGCAACCTCGCTCACTCGCTCTTTGTCTGTCCGTCCGTGGGTCTCTCTGTCTGTGTGGCAGCACATAAAAAGGCTCTGCCAGTTGCAGGCATTCAACATATACAAAACTTTTTGTATATTTATTAGACTATGAATTAATTCAAGTGTGAGTGAGTGTGAGTGTGTGTGTGAGTGTGTGTGTGTCTGTATGAAAGGATTTCGAATGCCTCTGACTGTGGCTGCTAAGTAAGCGCGCGATTTTCGTACTATGCCCCGCAGCGAGCTGCTTGCAAACGTCAGCAAAAAATGTTTCCTTTTTTTTACAAATATATTTTTTCAATCTTTTTTTTTTTTTTGCTCTCACATTTTTATGTTATATTTTTGTTGGTTTTTTTATTTTATTATTTTTGTTGTGTGTTCGTCCTTTACATGTTGCGGCTGACAAGCAACGCCAAGCCCGTCTTGTACCTCTATGCGCGGGGCATAAGCACAGCGCAAAAAAAATGTATGCTATAGCCTTGCCACAGAGAGCAGCAGCAACAACAACAACAACAACAACAACAACTACTACAACAGCTCAGCACAAAAAACATCATTCGCAATTCAAAATTAAAAGCGATTCGCACAAGACAAAAGAGCAAAACTAGATGCCCAAATAAAGAGCAAAAAAACAAAAAAAAAATAAAATAGGAAACCGAGCATAAAAAGCAGAAAATAAAAGTTGACCCTGCGCATCGGACAAACAGTTAGTTGCATTTATTAATAGCCAAGGCAATGCATATGCTGTGGGCGTGGCTGGGCGAGTGGACGGATTCTCGTTCTCAGAGGCGATTACCTTGACTATGAAAATATTTCTCACACATGAGCTGCTTGGGCGCATCGCCCTGTCTCTGCTGCTGCTCCTGCTGCTGCTGCTGCTGCTGCTGCTCGCTGGCCTGCATTTCCCTCGTCCGTTAGCAGCATTAGCAGTTTAGCCAGCCCAAACGACACATATATTACGATACATCTATGTACATATGTACATATATACACACTCATACACGTAAGCCAACACTTGAAACCTATTTTGAGAAGCTAATGCGAGGAAAGTTTCTTCAGAACTCAAGCAAAGTTTTATATCATCTGTGCGCTGATTAATTTATTATTGAAGTAGGCAAACACACAGAGAATATTTAAGTGGGCCAAGGCATTTTTGAAGCTTGCGGTTTGCCTAGGGAATTTTCTCAAATTTCTGTGGAATTTTGAGCCACATGCTAGAAATCTAAAATGTAGAAAGCAGATTTCATTTTAGATAATCCTTATTTTAAATATTCTCTCTTGGCTTCTCTTGTTTGATATTTCTATCTAGTTCTCCCTCTCTATATCTCTTTATCTGTCTCTCTCTTTCTTTCGCTCACACCAACTCTTTGTGTCTTACTATTTCTATTCTTGCTATTCTCTACCTCTCTCTCTCTCTCTCTCTCTCTCTCTGTCTTTCTCTCTCTGTCTTTCTGTTTCTGTCTAGTCCTCTCGGTCCCTCTCTATCTCTCTCTCTCTCTCTGTCCCTCTCTATCTCTCTCTGTCCCTTTCTATCTCTTTCTATACCTCTCTCTGTCCCTCTCTATTTCTATCTCTGTCCCTCTATATCTCTCTCTGTCTCTCTTTCTGAATCTCTGCCTATTCTTCTGTATTCTCTCTTTGGCCCCTGTCTCTCTCTCTGGCTCTCTGTCTCTCTCTCTCTCTCTCTCTTTCTCTCTCTCTCTCTCTCTCTCTCTCTCTGTCTCTCTGTCTCTCTCTCTAATTAAACTTCTCCCTTCTCTCTGTTTCATTTCCTTAGTGTCGATCTCCTGCCTTCCATCTCTCTCCATCTGTTTCTTCGTCTCTCTCTCTCTCTCTACTTTAGGCTCCTCTCTCCAACCGTATCACATTTCTCTCACATGTTTTCCATCAATAGCCAAACTTTTCTTTAGTCTTTAGTACCCAAGATAAAAAAAGAATTAAAAGCCAACAAAACAACAATAAAAACTTTATTGCTTCCCTAAAATGAATTGAAAAAAGTTTTATCATATATTAATTATAGCACAACTTTATGTGCAGCCTTCGCAATTCACCTTAGCGGTTTACTCAGTCTCTGTGTATCTTTCGCTGCCCTGCAACCGCACACAATTCTAACACGCACACACACACACACACACTCGCTGATGAGTGGCAGTGTTTGTTTAGTGTTTGTTAGATTACTGCTTGGGCGGGCTGCTCACCTGCCGTGCACCTTGACACAGACAAAGGTCACCTAATGTGTTGCATTCTACTGCACACAAAAGGCCAAGTGGCACACCGAGAGAACTAGAGAGAGAGAGATAGAGAGCAGAAGACAGAAAGCGAGAAAGGTGACGGCACTCTGTGTGTATTAAATGATTACACTTATGCAAAAGGTCTGCACACACCTGACTTTATTGTTTATATTATTTACTCTTTTTTGTTGCTCTCATGCAAAACAAGCAAAAACAAAACTTAGTTGACAAACTGAACTCGTCAGCTTTTAGCTGCGAAACGGCGGAGTTTTCAACTCCGAGCGAAACTCTCCGGGCGATTCGTAGGGCAGTCGTCGCCGATGTTCCGGACGATAACCAGTGGCAGGCAGCGCCAGCACCACTTGCCACAGACCCACCAGCAACAGCAGCAGCAGCGGCAAAACTTGTTGTGTTCCCAGCCACATTTTGAAATAAATTGAAGCTCATGGAATCGCAATAGGCGATAATCAATAGAGGCGGGTGATAAGAAGGCTGTCAGTTGAGGTCATTGCCAGATAGCTACAGAGATGGAAAAACACAGACAGCCAGACAAAGAGAGATAGATGGAGAGAGAGAGAGAGAGAGAGAGAGAGAGAGAGAGAGAGAGGAATCTAGTTGGATTTCTATTGAAAAGGTGTAGTTGCATAAGCCACTGCTACACTGCACTACAAGCTGAGAACTGAGAGCGGAGCAGCTTTTCAATTGTAATCTCTTTATTCAATTAAGAAAGGTCAGCTGGAAGTGCGCTACAGTTAGAGAGCTATTAGCGATTCAGTTTAGCTGCTACACTGTGCTACAAATTGCAGCTTAACGGATTTTCATAGAACTTTGTATAAAATTTAATGAATTACTAGAACAAAGAGTTTTATAGTTGAGTACATTACTGGCATTAAGAGTTAATTCAATTGAATAAACACTGTAGCATTAAGCTACACTGTGCTACAATATATTGAGAGAAAAGTTAAGTATTAGTGTTTCAAAATGAGATAGAAAAAAGCTACATCACTAATGCCTTAATACTATACAACAAACTTTAAATAGATAAATCGGATTTCATGGTATATATACATACACTGAGTAACACTAATATAAAAAAAAAAAAAAAAAAAAAAAAAAAAAAAAAAAAAAAAAAAAAAAAAAAAAAATAATAATAATAATAATAATAATAATAAAAAGAATACTAATGTTACTCACTGTATATATTTATAGATATTATGAGCTCTTATTTTTTGCCTTTAAAACATACTAATAATACGCCCTAAACTATAAGCTTTAAAGCCATAAATTCATTTACAAGACGTTGGCTTTAAACTAAAATATTTATGGAGTTTAGTGTCGCAAAGGTTTTTCCACGCTAGCTAAATCATAAATTATATTAGGCGCACTTTAAAAATCTATTGGGATTGCTTTTTTTTTAGCCATTTTTTCTGTTTTTAGCCATGTATTTTGCGCTTTGGTGGCCAAATCAAATAAGGTCTAATTTTTGGTTGCTTTTTAGACGCGTTTTTTGCTGTCGTTTCTCAGTTTTATTTTTATTATTTCTATTTATTTTTTTTTAACATTCAACTGACAGAGTCTATCTCATTCTCGAACATTTCAGTTTACGTGTTAAGTGCTTGGCAAGCACGATTAAGGCGCTTTATCACCCGCAACAACGGCAGCAACACGAACTGAAACAAAATCAACAGCAACAGCTGCGACGCCAGCAGCAGCAGCAACAAAGGCGCTTACGGCAGGCCTTGTCGCAGCAGCAGCAACAGCAGCAGCAGCAGCAACAACTGTTTTAAGCACTCGCACATACACTGGCACGCCCACTGGGCGTTAAGTAACAAGCAGCAAGCAACAGCAACAGCAACAGCAACAAGAACAACATGCTGAGCACAATGACAACGCCAGCCACATTGCTTGAGTTTGGGGCAATTGGTGATGTCCCAAGCATTTTGGAAATAGAACTGCCAGCGATATTGTTCAACGAGAGCCTCTTCATTGAACTGAATGGCAGCCTAACCCAGCTGGATGCTGGCAGCGGCGGCGGCAGTGGCGCCACCAACAACATCAACATCAACATCAACGGCAACAACAGCAGCAGCAACAGCAGCAGCGCAGCCAGCAATTACAACAGCGGCGGCAGCTACAATGACAGCATTCTGCTCATCAACGGCATCAGCAGCGGCTACAACAGCAGCAACGGCAGCACCACCACCAATGCAGGCAGCAATCTCACACAGCTGGAGGAGGAGCAACGTGTTGCCAATGAGCGTGCCGCTGCCGAATTTTGGCTATTGGTCAAAATGATAGCCATGACCGTTGTGCTTGGCCTAATGATACTCGTCACCATTATTGGTAAGTGAATAGAAATTCACAATCATTCAGATACTTGAGAAATCGGACAAGCGACTGCCCGACGTTCAGGTAGTCTAGCTTTGTTAAAGGTAATTGCATGAGGATAACGTATGGACTCTGTCACGCCTACTTCCTACTTCCTACCTTGACATTCCATTGTGAATGTTTTCAGCGTATTTTAATATAAATTTCTATACTCAATTTCTCAAATATTACTTACAGAGTATCTTAATACAGTCGTGTCTCGATAATTTCTGCTCCGATAAATCGAAAATCGCGCTAAATCGAACAAGATTCTATTCGATTTCTATCGATAAATTAAATTTTTGTGTAAATTGGAAAAAAAACAGGGTCCATTGCCATATCGAATCATCGAGGCACGAGAGAATAGAGAGAGTAGAGAATGGAGAATAGAGTACAGAGTTCTCTCGCCAATATACCCCTCCGCTCACACCTCAGCTAGCGAGCATATTTCGATTCATGTCTTAAAGCAGCTGCTATCATTTATGTGGCAAGTAGCAAGTGGCAAGTGGCAAGTGGGTGTGGCAGGCTGCCAGATTTTGTAGCCGTTAAATTATTCTCAAATTTATGCCGCCAGAAGGCAGGCAAAAAAAAAAAAACAAACCAAAAAAAAAAATAAGTAACGTTGCCATATCGTCCAAACTGTAAATGAAGTGAAATTTATGATGCAGAAGATTTTTATTGCGCTGCTTGAAAATTTTATTGATTTTTGGCTTACGAAAGATGATTTGCTGCCGTGAAGTTTTCGCTGAGGTGGAGGTGGGGAGGTGTCGGTGGCGATGGCGATGGCGATGGAGGGGCGAAAGCAGCTGGTTGTCTGGTGCGGGCGCTTAGGCGGGCTGGGCGTGGCAGTTATGTGCTTAGAGTGCGCGCGCGTTTTAAAAAGCTTTGCGTTAAACGTCACACTTAGCGACGAGCAGCAGAGAGTTGAGTTGCGTCCTGTAAGTCCTTGCCAGCCAAGGACGACAAACGACAAGCGACAAAAGCAAACAAAGTTTGTGTGTGTGTGTGTTGGTTTTTTTTATTTTTTTTTTTTTGCTTTGTTTTTTTATATAAAAATACATTTTTTAGACTTTATGTTGTTGTTGTTGTTGTTGTTGCCATCGACACGTGAAAAGCTATTAAAAGCGCGCCAAGGCGTCAAATGGAAATTGTGCAAACAAACGCACACAGCCTTAGCAGCCACACCAACGCACAGGTACGCATAGAAAGTGTGTGTATGTGTGTGTGCGACACACGCGGCGTATGCGCAACGCCGCAGCTAGCATATGCAAATGCATTCTGCTTGGCCCTAGCACGACGAGCAGTGACAAAAACGTTTTGATAAACTACAGACAGGCAACAACAACAACAACAGCAGCTGACAGACAAGCGACAACAACAACAACAGCAGCTTGACACACCGACATAGTTAGAGACGAGCATCGGGTTGACAGAGGCAAAAAGCTTTTGAATGCCGCCGTGGCAATTACAATTTGCCAACTTGCATCATTTGCAGTGCATAGAGAGATTGGCAAGCAGTGGAACTGCCCCTCACTCCACCCCATTTCTACACTTGCAACTTGCCCCAAAGGCTATCGAAATTGAACTTGGCTCAGTTTGAGTAGAAACCGTATGTATGTGTGTGTGTGTGTGTGTGTGTGTGTTGGCATGTGCTATGCCATGCACAATTGCCTGCAATTAGAAACGTGCTGCAAAGGCTGATTGATTTTGGCATAATAAAACAGTTCGTCCAGTGCCAGCAACTACTTTAGTTGCTCTCATTTCAATAGTGTTTAACAGCTGCCACAACTACTACTACTACTACTACTACTACTACTACTCCTACTCCTACTACTCCTACTACTCCTACTACTACTAGTACTATTACTTCTACTACTGCTGCTATTTGCAATCAAAGTTCTAAGTTCATTGACTATCTCTCTCAGTGTATGCAGCACAAAAGTCGAGCGAATTAATAGTTAATGCCATTTCAAGTGAACAATTAAAATGCATTTTGTTGAGTCAAGGCAATTAGTTAAATATTTAAAGAACTAAACGAGCCAAACAAACTTTTTAATAGGCTTTAACCATTTGCATTTACGGATGGAATTGACGGAAAGCCTAAAAAGTGTTGAGCAAAGGAATTTGTTGCTATCCAGCTTTGTGTGTATAAAGGTCATGGAGAGGTCATGCATGCCAGAAATTATAAATAATTTTTACATATGCAGGCATTGAAAGACGTGATTGGTGTAGAAACCAACCAAATTCTCCTATACTCAAATCAATAATAAATTATTTCTAATCAAGAATAACTCTTATCCATTTCCAAAAGCCAAATATAACACAAAAAAAAAAAAAAAAAAAAAAAAAAAAAAAAAAAAAAAA